CTCGCGACGGCGCGGACCTGGGCCGGGAGCGCGCTGCTGGGCCTGCTCTTCGCGCTCATCGGGGCAGCACAAGAGAGCGAAATTCCCAACTTCAAAGGCTCCGATCTCGGCCGTTTTCCACTCGTTTCGGCTGATTTTTGGACGAGCGATCATCTCTCGGAACGGTCTCGAAGCGTGGATGCTTTTCCCGGAACGCGCGCGCGCGGAACACTCACGTTGAAGCGACGTTGAATCACCCTTTTCCTGCCCAGGCGCTCATCGGCCTCAACGTGCAGCACGACGCGAACCACGGCGCCATGTTCAAGGACGGGCGGAAGAACGCGCTCTGGGGCCTCGCGCAGTCGTGGATCGGCGGGTCCCAGCTCATGTGGCTCCAGGAGCACGTCGTGCTCCACCACATGCACACGGGCGACGTCGAGTTCGACCCGGACGCGCAGCTCGCGCCCGTCATGCGGGGCCACGCGGGCGCGCCCTGGCTGCCCTGGATGCGCTTCCAGCAGTTCTACTTCCTCCTCGTCGAGCTCGGCTACGGCGTCATCCCCATGTTCATGTCCTTCTTCGAGGTGCTCTGCTGGCGCCACAAGTTCGAGCGCAAGTTCGCGCTGTCGCGGCTCGCGTGGCGCTGGGGGCTCCAGTCCGTCGCGCTCCACCTCCTCTTCTACGCGCGCATGGTCGCGGCGCCCGTCGCCGCGGGCCTCCGGGCCGCCGCGGCGGACCCGGGCGCGGCGGCCGGCGCGTGCGTCGCCGCGGAGCTCGCCAAGGTCGCGGTCACCGTCGGCGTCGCCGGCGGCTACCTCGCCTTCTTCTTCTTCCTCAGCCACAACTTCGACGGTGTCCACTTCGTCGCCGGCGCCGGCGAATCCGGCGACCAGCGCTACCCGGAGCGGAGCGGCTTCCTCCACCAGCAGGCGTCGAGCTCGAGCAACGTCGCGGGCGAGAAGCTCTGCGCGCTCAACGGCGGCCTCAACTACCAGATCGAGCACCACCTCTTCCCCCGCGTCGCCCACAGCCACTACCCGCACATCGCGCCCGTCGTCCGCGCCTTCTGCGAGCGGCACGGCGCGCCCTACGTCCACTTCGACTCCGTCGGCGCCAACCTCGCGTCCGTCTTCGCGTACCTCGCCAAGTTCTCGTCGCCGGACTACGACGCGCCCGTGCCCAAGCCCGAGGGGCCCAAGGCGGACTGAGCGACCCCGGCGCGGGGGGGGCGCCCGGAGGGAGCCCGCGTCGCCGCCGAGGCCGCGCCGCCGCCGCGGGCGCCGGCGCGAGCGCCGGCGCGGGGCAGTTTACGCGGCGCACGTACTCGAGAGGAGGTGCCACCGGACGGGCGCGGTACCGCGCGGACCGCCGGCGAGCACCACATCACGTACTCTCATAAATCAACAACCCAGGAAGTCGCAATCCCGCCGCGCGCGGCGTCGAGCGTGTGATCAGCACAATTCATCGATTTGAGCGCCCTGGCGTGCGTCGCCGCCTGCATGCTCGTCAGCATCTGCGCCGAAGCACGCTTAGGGGCAGCGGGAGGTGGACCAAGCTTGCTCGTGCCGCCGCAAGCCGTCGACGCGCGGACACTACGCTCGGCATCCACCATCGTGGGGCTTGCTGTGCTGAATGAGCGGCCAGTTCAGTCTTGCCGCGGCTGATACGCCATGCGGCAAGACTCCGCGACGCGGAGTCTTCAGAAAACTTGTCACTGACAGTGGCGTTGTGATTTCAGGGCCTGCCTGCGGCGCGCCGTATCACCCTGGAGAGTGTCGATTTGGCGATGGTGCCAGAAATGCCCCGTCGTCGCGGCGCCGTCCTCCTCGATGCCCGAGGCCGCGGGGCCCATGGACCTCTCCTAAGCATCGCGCGCGCCTCGTCGCGCCCAGTGAGCGTAAAGATCAAGGGGCTGACAAGGCATCTCGAGGGCCCCTCTTCCACAGCGGCGCGAGACCTGGTGCACTGCTCTTTCTGTCAAACATCTGTCAAACAAAAGCACATGGTTAGAGTGAGAGTTAAATTAAGAGAATGGTCAGATTAAGAGAACACGGCTTTGGCCGGCGCATGCCTCCTGACACCTCTACCGCCGCGCGCGCGCGCGTCATATGCGCTGAAATTTTCAAAACATCTTCGACTCAACTTCGTGAGAAAAGCTCAAATCCGAAGAGTTTTCGTAATTCTCTTAATCTAACCCATCTCACAGCTATGGCTCCGGCGCCGTGAGCGCGCGCATAGACGCAGCGGTCCAACGATGTCCGTTTTGGACGCGCCGATTTTTGTCAGTTGTCTCCGCCGCCCGAGCTGTCCGCCGGCGGCCTGCCGCGCGTGTTTACGGCACCGGAATGCTCGGTTTAATTTTGCCCCGCTTAGCTTGCTCTTAATCTAACTTTCACGCTATACTATGATGGAAACAAGTAGGGTATGAAATGCTATGATGGAACCAATCGTTATTCATGAATATGCATGAAGTCTAAGTTCATGACATGGTACGGTTCCATCGCTCTCTCGATATTGGTTCCATCATACATATTAACTCATATTGTTTCCATCATACATATGAGGATATTGATTCCATCATGCATATCCGAGCGTGTTGGTTCCATCTCGCTTTATGCAATATTAAGTATTGGTTCCATCATACATATTCGACAATGTTGTTTCCATAAATGTATTGGTTCCATCATACATATCCGCTGGTATTGGTTCCATCTTGCTTTCTGGACACTGGTTCCATCTTGCTTATAGAGATATTGGTTCCAGCATGCGTATGGAGATATTGATTCCATCATGCATATCCGCGGGTATTGGTTCCAGCATGCCATTCCGGATAATAATATATTAGGTATTGGTTCCATCTTGCTTATAGGCATATTGGTTCCAGCATGCGTATGGAGATCTTGATTCCATCATGCATATCCGCGGGTATTGGTTCCAGCATGCCATTCCGGATAATAATATATTAGGTATTGGTTCCATCTTGCTTATAGAGATATTGGTTCCAGCATGCGTATGGAGATATTGATTCCATCATGCATATCCGCGGGTATTGGTTCCAGCATGCCATTCCGGATAATAATATATTAGGTATTGG